TATATTTTTTTATTGTTTCAAAGAATGTATTGGTTTATTTGATTGCAAGAATTTTGCTTTTTTAAATCATTAGTGATGATTCAGGATTATTGATATAGGCAGCGTTGACCTACACTAGATTCAATGTTGTCATGATTTTAGTTCATCAAAGTTATGACATTTACACTGGGATATCTATATGTCTGTTTATCATACTTGCCATAAATTAAATATCTTACTTTCCACAATAGCTGTAGCAACTGGATGCAGACAATGTATCTGATGAGTTTCAGTTATGAGAAGATTGTCCTCCTATAATGAAATAAAAGCAAGGCAAATGGCTTCACTTGAAATAAAAAAATATATATTTTGAGAAAAATATATAAGTAAGTAGCCTTGGTATGCAATATAGATCCATTTTATCCAGAGACAAACATTGGTTTGTACAGAAGCGTAGGTAAATCTGATTCATATGAATTATGCATGACCCCAGTGTACAATAGGCCTAGCTACTTATGTAATTGCTTCAGCATTTCACCTTCATTGTCCATGTACTTTATGGAATATGACAAACAACATACGAACCGAAAACAAAATGTTCTATATACTTACCTTGTGAAGTGTGAAGAAATGATAGTGTGTGTGTGCATACATGTGTGTGTGTGTGGCCTTGTCCTGTGACATTGTTGCGACCTCCAACAGGACCCTCTGCCACTGAAAGCCCTCTTATTTTCCTATGGAAGAGTTGAATAATTCACCTTACACACACACAAACACACACACACACACACCATCTAGGATAGATAAGCCCCCTACTGCTCCCTCCTACAAGGTTTGTCATCACCATCACTCACCACAATGCCTTCCTTGCCCCCTCCACCACGCCTCCCTCATCCCCCGCTCCGCTGCTCCTGTGGTACGGCCGGGGCTAGTGTAGTGCTGCTTCGATTTCAACTCCAGAGAGAGAGAGTGTGTGTGTGTCTGTGTTAGCTTGACTCTCAGAGGGAGGAGAAACCCCACTTCTCCAGGATCAGGTGTCCCATATGGCCAGGCCTCTCTCTCTCTCCCCTCCCTCTCTCTCCCTCCCCATCTCTCTCTCTCCCCATCTCTCTCTCTCTCTCTCGTTCTCTCAAGAGGTACCTTGCCCAGAGAGTTCAGCTCAGTCCTGGGCAGATTAATGGGTGCTCTGTGTGTGTGTGTTTGTGTGTGCATGCGTGCATACGTGCATGCACTTGCGCTGTGTGTGTGTGTGTGTGTGGGGGGGGGGGGCGCTTAATCTTCTGTGATGATTTCATTTGCATGTTATGGCCTTTTGTACTCCCTACATATTTTCTATGGTAAAGCTGCTCTTTCATTATTTCCCTCTCTCCGTTTGCACTACAGTGGGAACTCAACTCTCCGTCCTCTCATCAACTGTGTGTGTGTGTGTGTGTGTGCCCAGTCAGTAACTGGAGCAGTTCACCAGGCAGGGCTTAGGGAGTGCCAGCATTGCCTGTTAAAGTGACACACACGCAAACACACACACAATACACCCTTAGAACCTCCACCTAAAGTGGCCATTAACCGTGAATGGGGTCAAAGGTAAAAACAGAAGAGCCGACAAGGAAAGGTGGATATGTTTGTATCCCAAATCACACCCTATCCCCTATATAGTGCACTAGTGTTGACCAGAGCCCTATGGGTCCTGGTCAAAAGTAGTGCACTATATAGAGAATAGAGTGGTATTGGGGACAGCCTATGTGTTAACAGGAGTGTTCATGTTCTCTGTATAATGAGGGTGTATTGGTATCATGTGTGTCATTAACATAGTATTAGTGTTGGAGCACTTAACCTGGTGTATTTATAGTGTTTGGAGTTGAGTAAACATTTGGCTGAGGACACGTCTACAGTACCAAGTATAGTGAAAAACAATGTCTTTTTTGGACAGAAATGTACCACGTTTTCATACCAATGGATACACAGTAGGGTCTGAAATTGTTGACACCCTTGATAAAGATGAGCAAAAATGTATAAAATAAGTAATTTAAATACTAAGCTATTCTGTATGCAAAAAAAATAGGAAATATATTATTTTATACTAATACAATTGCTCTGAGAAAAATATTTTGTTTCACAAGTAGTATTTGTTTTCTTCTCAAAAAGGTAGGGGTCAAAATTATTGACACCCCTGTTTTCAATACCGTTCAATACCTCAACTTGCGAGGATAACGGCACTGAGCCTTTTTCTAAAATGTTTTATGAGTTGGAGAACACATTAGGAGGGATCTTACACCATTCCTCCATACAGAATCTTTACAGATCCTTGATATCCTTCGTCTGTGCTTATGGACTGCCCTTTTCAATTCAAACCACAGGGTTTCACGTCTGGAGACTGAGATGGCCATTGCTAAATGTTGATTTTGTGGTCAATTAACAATTTCTTTGTGGATTTTGATATGTGCTTGCGGCCAAGTTTCAGCCTCCTGGCAGAGGCAACCTGGTTTTTGGCTAAAATGTCCTTGTACTTGGTAAAGTTCATGATGCCATTGACCTTAACAAGGGCCCCAGTCCCAGTGGAAGCAAAATAGCCCCATAACATCAAAGATCCACCACCATGTTTTACAGCGGGCATGAGGTTATTTTCTGCTTATGCATTCTCATTTTGACGCCAAACCCACCACTGGTGTACGTGGCCAAATAGCTCTATTTTCATGTCATCTGACCAAAGCACCGGTTCCAATCCCCCCTCCCCCAAACACACAGACACTACATTAAACCAGCTCTCCTCTGACCCCTGGGTGTGCTGAAATCTCACTAGTGATCAGCTTAGCGGTGCAGTCCCCATACCGGGAATCTAACGGCCTGTAATCTGCAGGATGAAATGGGTAATAATAATCTACCACAGATTGAGATGGGTCTATGTCTTGCATCCCAAATAGCACCCTATTCACTATATAGTGCACTACTATTGACCAGGGCCCATAGGACGCAACCATCTATACACCACACATGCAGTGCAGGGAAAGCAATCATCATTAATAACTCAACTGCAATCTTCTAAGTGATCCTCTTCTATAGGCTGCTTCCCAAATGGCACCCTATTCCTTATATAGTGCACTTCTTTTGACCAGAACCCTATGGGCCATGGTTAAAAGTAGTGCACTACATCGGGAATAGGGTGCCATTTGGGAATAGAGTGCCCTAGATCCACTGCACATCTGACTAAGGTAGGTAGGTCACTGCATCATCAGACAGTACAGTACAACATACACTCAATCTCAACCTATGTGTTTATGTTGATGTGTCCTACTCTGCTGTCAATCATATTAAAAGTGGAACATGAATTGCATCATTCAAGTCACGAGTGTGTCCCGAAATTGATGGGTTTATTGATCCCCTCCCAACTGAGCAAAGAACGTAATTTCAACATGGAAATTTGGGTAATAATTGGTTGAGACGTTGATCAATGTGATTTCAACCTTTATTCACCCACTCAAAAAGACAGCCAGAAGTTTGTTGAATTCCCAGTGTGTTATCACTATGCTTTGAACCATCTAAAAGCACAACCAAATTCCAATGGAAAACAATGTCACATTTTTGGTTTAGCTGTCATCTAAATGTGTTATCACTGCACTTTCAACCATTTTAAAAAGCACAACAATTGGGAATACATGTCAGATGAACTGTCAGATATTTTGTTTATTTATACAACAGATTAATGTGTTATCACTGTGTTTCATCTAATAGCACAAACAACTGACCTGGATTGCAGTTGAAATTACATGAAAAGTACATAATGCAAGTGATCAATTCTGTTTGAGATTCTGTAGCGGTTTGCCTTGGAAAGTTTTTTTCGCCTGGTCACATACAGCTGATGTGTTGTGCACTGAAGTCCACAAGCGAGAAGGAATACAATGTGGCTGCTATGAAAGTGAACTGTGTTTTCTCGTGATCAGGGTGTATTCATTCTGTTTAAAAACATTTCTTAAATGGAAGCAAACCGAACAAAACGGGGATAAACATACCTGGATTTGTCCAATAGAAATTCTTGTTTGCAACTGTTGGACTAATGATTACACCCTATATCATGTGGTGCAGTGCCGATTACACCCTATATCATTACACCCTCCCGAGTGGCGCAGTGGTCTAAGGCACTGCATCGCAGTGCTAGCTGTGCCACTAGAGATCCTGGTTCGAATCCAGGCTCTGTCGTAGCCGGCCGCGACCGGGAGACCCATGCGACGGCGCACAATTGGCCCAGCGTCATCCAGGGCAGGGGAGGGAATGGCCGGCAGGGATGTAGCTCAATTGGTAGAGCATGGCGTTTGCAACGCCAGGGTTGTGGGTTTGATTCCCACGGGGGCCCAGTATGAAAAAAATATATTAAAAAAAGAATGAATGCACTCACTAAGTCGTTCTGGATAAGAGCGTCTGTAAAATGTAAATATCAGGCGGTGTTGAATGTCACTGTTTGTCCATGTGTCTCTGTCTCTCGACCGGTGTGCACCTACATTGTAAACTTTAATTCATAGGTTGTAGCAACCTCATGATGGGTAAGGGAAAATTCGAGTATCATTTAGTAGCCTAAACCTATCGCTGTTACATTGAACTGGATGAATGGAATATTTATAACAGTCATCCAATATGCTGTAATAGAAATAAGGCCATGCTCATTTAAAAAAATTGTTCTCCCTCATCTTAAACGACACTGACCGCCACTGCCGGATATACTTTTTAGCTATATATTGCACTATTTTTACAGTATGTAGGGAATAGGGTGCTATTTGGGACACAACCCTATTCTCAGTCCACTGCCCCATCATATTACATTTACTTGTCTTGTCACATTCTTTAGTAAAAAGTGAACACCAAATCTACGCAGTGATTGTCAATTGACACTAGGTGGCGGTGACCGTCAAAATACCGTTTACCGACCTCATAAAGATGTCAGCGCCCTTCTCCCGTTTTGTGTTTGGAGGAAAGTAGGACGTTTTCTATTGAATTCTGTTATCATAGGTCAGACAACTGCGTACGGCACAAAAATGGACACAGACAGAACTACGAAGGTTTGAACAATTTGATGTAAATATGCTTTCTTCAAACGACAAATTGTTAATTTTGCGCTCCTGAGTGTCAGTAGGCGACTGAATGTAAACAATTGCTTATTGAATAGCCCTAAAACTCAATGACTGTATATGTAGGAGTCAAGACCGCTTATACAAATTAATAACAGGACTGTCTGAAATAGCTAGCTGTCAGTCATGTGTCTTCATAAATCGTGCCTGGTAGGCCTACTTTAGCTATCATCAATAATTGATATTGAACGCAGCATTGGTGGGAAACTAAAGTAGCTTGCTATATCAAAGCTTAATTTACATTTAGAGATCTAGCAATACAGACTGTACTGTACTTTGAGGATCTTGTTCACTGCGTACTGTATCTTATTTACCTGTTCTGTACAGCTGGAGTTTGCAGTGACAGTTGTGCAGAGAAAGTCCAAGCTGCACTGGAGGGAAAACCAGGCAGGTACATTTTTACCTGTCCATTCCACTACTCAAATAAGTTATTGTAGTAGGCTACTAACTACACTTCTGCTACAGTGTGCACAACTCAATGTTAACTAGGGGTATTGCCCCTAGGCTTCATACCAATCGTAATACAGTAGAACAAATTATGAATGTTGTTATTATTTACTTAGCTATTACTGTTACATCATAGTGCAGTACTGTACATTGCAATTTAGTTGGCAATACAGGGGCTGCTCTTGCTTTTGGTCAAATACTTAACACTGGAACAAAACCACAGGGCCCCTCCATGCATTCCAAGCCATCTAAAGCATAGCCGGTCACAGGGCAGCAGTAATCTCTATTTTCTTCCCCCTTTATTCCTCATCTCTGTGTTTTCCCCTGCTCATTGCTTTTCGCTGTCTCTGTTTTGTGTTCCTCACCCCTTCTTTCTCTCTCCTTTTTAGGAGTGTGGTCGGTGAGGATAGACGTGGGGAAGGAAGAGGTTCTGGTGGAAGCAGCTCTGACATCCCATGAGGTGCAGGATCTCATAGAGAGCACTGGATGCAGGGCAGGGTAAGGCTGCGGCCATACTTTCGGACGCATGAACACGGATGAAATTGTATATGACTTGCATTCGTTGCCCGTCAAAAAAGTACAACACTTTTTGTTGCATACTTCAAAAAACAGACAATTTATGTGTTTTCTGTCAGACAGTCATCTCTGTTGTCAGTCACCCCTCAATGGATGACTCCCATTAAAAAAAAGCATTGCCTCTATCCGAAATACTCCAACACAAAATCCCAATGTGTCCACTGCCTATGGAGGGAGCCAGCATCCTGAGGGTGTATGAACTACTTGGTGACTTCAGAATGCCTGAATACATTGACAGACTAATGTCCAATATTTAAGTTATTAGTAGGCCTACATCACAGGTGTATGGGGCAGCATATGTGCTCTGTATTTGTGTATTCTACTATATGTGTGTGTAGTCTTTATGTGTGTGTGTGTGTGTCTGTGTGTATCAGACCTGGGTGCAGAGGTAGCCATGATGGGTGGTAGCGGTTCATGGGGTGGTGCGGTTCCTGCAGCTGTCTGAGGAGCGCTGTCTGATCGACGGGATCATTGATGGTCTGGAACCTGGTGCCCATGGCCTCCACGTCCACACGCTAGGAGACCTCACACAGGACTGCCAAAGGTAACCTGTGTGTGTGTGTGTGAAGCACACATAAATGTTATATTAGCACCAAAATGCCAGTTATATGCATTATTTGAGGATTTTTTAATATTATATTTTTCATAGTATATTATACTGTATGCATTGTTTTGGCCCCAATTTTTTTTACAGCCTTCAGAGTTTCCTCAAAGTCAATTAAAGGAACCCTTGAATAGATCTGTCACTTTATGATTGCATCAAGGCAGCTCATGATGAGGTCACAGTTGCACCTGCTTGCCCCAGAGGATCATGGGAGCGGATGACTCATGTTTCTCTCTCCGTGTATGTTTGTACAGCTGTGGAGAACACTATAACCCCTATGGGAGACAACATGGCGCCCCACAGGACCCAGACAGTACAGTTTCCTTGCCTTCACTCAGAGTAGGGCTACACTGTATAGTCCTGCTTCAGTACCTTGTGAAACTGGGGTACTTTCTGAGATGTTCTGCTCTCAGGAAGTAACTTTTTACTGTCTCAAAGATATGATTGGATTGGTATTGACTGATATTGATTAGACAGATATTGGTTTACTTTTTTTGTTGCCTTTCACCTTTTCTAACTGGTCAAATGCTATTCATGGTTGTGATATCCATGTAAATGTGTTTCTTCCAGCATGTAGGTGATCTGGGGAATATTGAGCTCATGGTAGAGGAGAGATGAGGATAGCATTTGGGTGGACTGACTGTAAGTCAGAGTTGAAGGAGTTAATTAATTGTATTTGACCATTTTAAAATACAATTATATAGGTTATTGGAATGTCTCTTAGTGATAGTATTCTGTGTATATTCCTGTGTGACTCGTGTCATGTTACCTTCATTGTCTGGACTTTGCAGGTGCTGGCCCTGTCTATGTATGTGTATCTATTGCTCTGTGCTCATTGGGTACAGACTGGCCTGTGGGATCATCGCTCGCTCCGCTGGCCTGTTCCAGAACGCCAAGCAGATCTGTGAGTGTGACGGGGTGACACTGTGGGAGGAGAGGGACCGACCGCTGGCTGGAACGGGCCGCAGCAAAACCACCACAGAGACACCTGCCGTTCACCTGTAATGCCAGACACCTGGGTCATATTCATTAGTGCACAATGTAGCAAAAAGTTTTGCAACAAAAGTCCAGGTTATCCGTCCGTGTGTTCTGTTTAGTGATCAGTGAATATGACCCGGAATGGTGAACCTCACTGGCTGTTGCTTATGATGTCGCACACAGACTGAAAATGCACTAAGAGTGGGAGAGAGGTTAAGTAGGTGACCGAGGAGGAGAGATCAAATAATTGTCTGTTCAGCAGTCATCTTCCTTTTTATTGAGATGCCATATTGAATTCTTCCGGGACCGGAACCTATCATGACAGACTGAAGAAACACAACAGGAATAGGATGTGTGTTCCTGGACACTGAATAGTCTCACATATAAACAATATTCTTGTTTCAAGACAGAATTATCCCATGCTGACTATTCTGTTGTTTAATAGTTAATGTTTATCAATCAGTCAATGTTGTCATTCTATGTTTGATTACAATGTGCTCTACTGTGTAAATATCAGTCCCTCCAAATGTGTTACGTGAGATTGTGGTTTTCCTCCCAAATGTGGTATGACTTAAATCACGATGATTTTATCCAAATCTTTGTAACCAGAGATTATTTTTCTTTGTAACTTTTTCTCAGTGAGCTTGCAATAAAAGGCACCAGTTGCCCTTTGGACTGAATGAAACCTGTATATGAATTGATAAATGACTGACTTTTGCTCAGTCGAAACATGTTATAAAGCCACTTTTTGAATAGCCTATATCTGTTCAAATGTTGTGAAGAATGAGCATTCTAGTGCGGCAGACCCGAGCCTCCCTGACTTCCCCATTGGTGAGGAATGCGCGTCATTCTAAAAAACGGAAGCAGGCGCTACCATTTTGAAACACGGCACTGCTTAGGTAAGTAAGATGGTAGATGTCTGTCCATCTCTTTCATTTGATTTCTTTACTAACGAAGAAAAATACACCAAACGACGATAAGTAGAAATATGAGGTTTTATCCGCCGAGAGCGGAACAACCAACGACACCAAATATGAAAGCGGGTTGTCGTACCATTGAATAAATGTTTCGCTCTCGGGGAATGTCCATTCCAGTGCTGAAAAATGCTGTTATTGTAACGTTTTAACTGTAAAATTGGTAATGTTTCCAATCCAACACCATTCACTCGATACAATTTGCGTATTGTTTGTGTAATTGTGTAGATTGGGTTGATTAAAAAATTGCATCGAAATCGTTTGATCACATTTTCGCCTTTAGGTTTGTTCAGTTTCAGTCCCACCAAGCAAAACCTAAGTATCCTCCGTATCAGGCTACTCATTTTAAAGAAAACATACGCCTATAATTGCTTGCTCAGTCTTAACTGCGACTTGCGAAATCATGTAAACCCGCACCACATTTTTGTTACATTTCTGTATCGTGGTAGATCGGGAGATCCCCAATCTTTCTAGCAAAACATTTTTTACTTTCTCGTGCTGCGTCATCAGAAAAAAAATGTTTTCTATACCGGGTGTGCCTCGTCTGAACTTTTTAAACTACTGTAAATATAGATGATCTCAGCGCATAGGCTACTATGTATAGCATTGTGTTTGGTATGCACAGAAAACGTCACTCTGGTGGTGTCAAGTTCTTTATTTTTTTTGCTCTTCGATCACTTTAATAATGTTTACCTACTGTTTTCATATTTATATACTGTGTTCTACTGTATTTTAGTCAATGCCACCCCGACATTGCTCGTCCAAATATTTATATATTTCTTAATTCCATTCTTTTACTTTTAGATTTGTGTGTATTGTTGTGAATTGTTAGATGCTACTGCACTGTTGGAGCTAGAAACACAAGCATTTCGCTACACCCGCAATAACATCTGCAAAAAATGTGTATGTGACCAATAAAAATTGATTTGATTTGATCTACAACTAGCATAGCAACTGGCCCGCCTAAACTGTTGATGACAACCCTGTAAGGTAGCTTAGTGCTTCTTGGCCAGTAGGAAGTAAGGTCAGAGGTCAACTTGTTGCTTGAGAATAGAATAGGCTACATAACCACGTTTCTATGGTGTCTTCCATAGAATTACATATTTTAACTGGATATGGTGTCTTCAATCTGACATTCATGCCTTTGTAGTTATTGTGCATGGTGGTCAAATCTCTTCTTGACACACATTTCCTGCCCCTCTTCTCCTGTGGTTTCATTCGTTTACTCATCTCTGGCTTTCTCCCTCTGAATGGTTGCAATTTGTTTTCTCCAGCGACTGCCATGGACAAGTGCAACAAGCTGAAGTTCAGGAAAGTTGTCTTCAGTATGTTCACTTGTCTGCTCTCTTTCACCCTTGTGTCCCACGTGTGTGTGCGTCTGTCTGTCTGTGTGTGTGTGCCTGTATCCGTCTGTCTGCGTCTGCCTGCATCTGTGTGTGTCACCCCCAGCGCCACAATGGACAAGAGCAACACGGTGAAGCTCTTCGTGGGCAACCTGGCTCTGGACACCACCCAGGAGGAGCTGTCGGCCATCTTTGAGTCGTATGGCGAGGTGGTCAGCTGCAGCGTTCTCCGACAGTTTGCCTTTGTACACCTACAGGTAGGATATAGATATCCCATAGGGAGGACTAAGGTCTGTTTCCCAATTCTCTATACTTCTCCTGAAGTGTACATTTAGTTGCATACTGTTCTTCATGGCTTTAACAATGGTCTAAACTTCGTCTAGGCAAAATGTACAGCAACCAATCCTATGCTTTTAAATCCATGACGGGGAGGGCACTCCAGAACTGTATGTTGGTTTATTTTTATTTTATTTTTTTAGGGGGTAGATCAGCTTTAATATTTCAGATAGATTGTAACTTCCATCAATGTAATTGTCTGCATCACTTCCAATCCCCCATATGTTTTTTTTCTCTCGCATATATATATATATATATATACACACACACACACATATATATATATATATACATACATACATACATACATACATACATACATACATACATACATACATACATCCATACACACACACATATCCTTTTTAAAATTATATTTCCCTTCATTACTTTCCAACCCCACCACCCCTTCCCCAATTGGAGTAAACTAGTGAACAACAACGCTTAGGCCTCTACTTCCGGCCCATACATACTATATACATTTTATGGACACAGTCAAATTCTACAATAATTATATTTTGTTTGTTTTTACTCCTGAACTTCCTCCGATCATTTTCATGATGTCCATCCGGTTTGCTTCTATATGCCATATTTTTCTAACTGTGCTCTTTCACAAAAGCTCTCAACCTATAACCTATATACAGTGGGGGGAAAAAAGTATTTAGTCAGCCACCAATTGTGCAAATTCTCCTACTTAAAAAGATGAGAGGCCTGTAATTTTCATCATAGGTACACGTCAACTATGACAGACAAAATGAGAAAAAGAAATCCAGAAAATCACATTGTAGGATTTTTAATGAATTTATTTGCAAATTATGGTGGAAAATAAGTATTTGGTCAATAACAAAAGTTACTCAATACTTTGTTATATACCCTTTGTTGGCAATGACACAGGTCAAACGTTTTCTGTAAGTCTTCACAAGGTTTTCACACACTGTTGCTGGTATTTTGGCCCATTCCTCCATGCAGATCTCCTCTAGAGCAGTGATGTTTTGGGGCTGTCGCTGGGCAACACGGACTTTCAACTCCCTCCAAAGATGTTCTATGGGGTTGAGATCTAGGCCACTCCAGGACCTTGAAATGCTTCTTACGAAGCCACTCCTTCGTTGCCCGGGCGGTGTGTTTGGGATCATTGTCATGCTGAAAGACCCAGCCACGTTTCATCTTCAATGCCCTTGCTGATGGAAGGAGGTTTTCACTCAAAATCTCACGATACATGGCCCCATTCATTCTTTCCTTTACACGGATCAGTCGTCCTGGTCCCTTTGCAGAAAAACAGCCCCAAAGCATGATGTTTCCACCCCCATGCTTCACAGTAGGTATCGTGTTCTTTGGATGCAACTCAGCATTCTTTGTCCTCCAAACACGACGAGTTGAGTTTTTACCAAGAAGTTCTATTTTGGTTTCGTCTGACCATATGACATTCTCCCAATCCTCTTCTGGATCATCCAAATGCACTCTAGCAAACTTCAGACGGGCCTGGACATGTACTGGCTTAAGCAGGGGGACACGTCTGGCACTGCAGGATTTGAGTCCCTGGCGGCGTAGTGTGTTACTGATGGTAGGCTTTGTTACTTTGGTCCCAGCTCTCTGCAGGTCATTCACTAGGTCCCCCCGTGTGGTTCTGGGATTTTTGCTCACCGTTCTTGTGATCATTTTGACCCCACGGGGTGAGATCTTGCGTGGAGCCCCAGATCGAGGGAGATTATCAGTGGTCTTGTATGTCTTCCATTTCCTAATAATTGCTCCCACAGTTGATTTCTTCAAACCAAGCTGCTTACCTATTTTAGATTCAGTCTTCCCAGCCTGGTGCAGGTCTACAATTTTGTTTCTGGTGTCCTTTGACAGCTCTTTGGTCTTGGCCATAGTGGAGTTTGGAGTGTGACTGTTTGAGGTTGTGGACAGGTGTCTTTTATACTGATAACAAGTTCAAACAGGTGCCATTAATACAGGTAACGAGTGGAGGACAGAGGAGCCTCTTAAAGAAGAAGTTACAGGTCTGTGAGAGCCAGAAATCTTGCTTGTTTGTAGGTGACCAAATACTTATTTTCCAATAAATTCATTAAAAATCCTACAATGTGATTTTCTGGATTATTTTTTCTCAATTTGTCTGTCATAGTTGACGTGTACCTATGATGAAAATTACAGGCCTCTCTCATCTTTTTAAGTGGGAGAACTTGCACAATTGGTGGCTGACTAAATACTTTTTTTCCCCCACTGTACTTATTATGGACACAGTATGCTTTACATTAGTTCTCTTGTTGTTGTTATTATGTTGGCTGTTACTTTGTGTGTACGTAGGTTACATTGACTCCATATGGTACAACATTCATTTCCTTATTGAGTGTTTCTCACATTAATGTTTTCTAATGTACAGTGCTATGAAAAAGTATTTGCCCCCTTTCTAATTTTCTCTACTTTTTGCATATTTGTGATACTGAATGTTATCAGATCTTCAACCAAAACCTAATATTAGATAAAGGGAACATAAGTGAACAAATAACACAACAATTACATATTTATTTCATAAACGTTATGCAATGCCCAATTTCTCCTGTGTGAAAAAGTAATTGCCCTCTTACACTCAATAACTGGTTGTGCCACCTTTAGCTGCAATGACTCCAACCAAATCCTTCCTGTAGTTGTTGATCAGTCTCTCACGTCGCTGTGGAGGAATTTTGGCCCACTCTTCCATGCAGAACTGCTTTAACTCAGTGACGTGTGGGTTTTCAAGCATGAACTGCTCGTTTCAAGTCCTGCCACAACATCTCAATTGGGATTAGGTCTGGACTTTGACTAGGCCATTCCAAAACTTCCAATTAGTTGCTTTTTAGCAATTTTCATGGTAGGCTTGATTGTGTGTTTTGGATCATTGTCTTGCTGCATGACCCAGCTGCGCTTCAGCTTCAGCTCACAGATGGATGGTCTGACATTCTCCTGTAGAATTCTCTGATACAGAGCAGAATTCATGGTTCCTTCTATTAAGGCAAGTCGTCCAGGTCCTGAGGCAGCAAAGCATCCCCAAACCATCACACCACCACCACCATGCTTGACCTTTGGTATGATGTTCTTACTGTGGAATGCAGTGTTTGGTTTTCGCCAGGCATAATGGGACCCATCTCGTCCAAAAAGTTGACTCAAGTTTGCCAAAAAGCACCTGGATGATCATCAAGACTCTTGGAAGAACGTTTTATGGACAGATGATTCAAAAGTATAACTTTTTGGACGACATGGTTCCAGTAATGCCTGGCAAAAACCAACCTCTGCATTCCACAGTAAGAATATCATACCAAAGGTCAAGCGTGGTGGTGTGATGGTTTGGGGATGCTTTGCTGCCTCAGGACCTGGACGACTTTCCTTAATAGAAGGAACCATGAATTCTGCTCTGTATCAGAGAATTCTAGAGGAGAATGTCAGACCATCCGTCTGTGAGCTGAAGCGCAGCTGGTTTTGGAATGGCCTAGTCAAAGTCCAGACCTAATCCCAATTGAGATGTTGTGGCAGGACTTGAAACGAGCAGTTCATGCTTGAAAACCCACACGTCACTGAGTTAAAGCAGTTCTGCATGGAAGAGTGGGCCAAAATTCCTCCACAGCGACGTGAGAGACTGATCAACAACTACAGGAAGCATTTGGTTGGAGTCATTGCAGCTAAAGGTGGCACAACCAGTTATTGAGTGTAAGGGGGCAATTACTTTTTCACACAGGGGAATTGGGTGTTGCATAACTTTGTTTATGAAATAAATATGTAATTGTTGTGTTATTTGTTCACTTATGTTTCCTTTATCTAATATTAGGTTTTGGTTGAAGATCTGATAACATTCAGTATCACAAATATGCAAAAAGTAGAGAAAATTAGAAAGGGGGCAAATACTTTTTCATAGCACTGTAATATTCAAATGTAAAATTATCCTATTATTTAGTCAACATTTTGTAATGCAATGTAATCTACTCCCAGGGCGAGGGGGCTGCAGAGCGGGCCATCAGTGAGCTGAACGGCAGGGAGTTCCGGGGGAGGAACCTGGTGGTGGAGGAGTCCCGGGGCAGACCGCTCCACTCCACCAAGGTGTTCGTGGGCAACCTGTCGGGCATGTGCACCACTGAGGATCTCCAAGAGCTCTTCCAGACCTTTGGCAAAGTACTGGAGTGCGACAAGGTCAAAGGTGAGCCACGCCCCTTCTCATGGAGGGGTACTCAGAACGGAGATTGTGCAGTACATTATGTTCCACCAGTGCTTGAAGTGGGCCGGTCAGTGCTGTCCGGTATGAAGTACTAGCGCCTCAAATGTTCTACTGCTGAAGGAAGTACTGTACCTCTTATAGAATATTGGCTGTAATATGTGTACTAGCATCGAAATATAAAGAGTTCCAGCAACCAAAATGAGTACCGGCACCTATTTCAGTGCACTTCAAGCACTGCATACCATTGATAGCTAGTTAAGGTCCAATGTATGCTTAGCTGTTTAGGGCTTCTTCATTATGCAACTTGAATAACAGTCAGGTAAGGTCTGTGTACAATTGTATAGAGCAGTAAGGAAAGTGTGTGTATAGAGCGTTAAGGTGTGTGTGTGGCATGCCCGGTGTGATTCTAACTGGTGTCCCTGCGCTCAATGACAGCCAGGCTCTCCTCTTCTGCAGGCTACGCCTTCGTGCACATGGAGAACAAGGAGGAGGCTCTACAGGCCATCGAGGCCCTCCACGGCACCTCCTTCAAGGGACGCCCGCTCTCTGTGGAGCTCTCCAAGGTGCTGTAGCGCGACACCCTGACATAGAAATAGAATGGGGAAAGGGATTGATGGGTGGACCGGTGGCCATTTTGAGTGGACCTGTGAGGGTGCGGCCAAATTGCTGTGGTCTGAGGTGTTATGCCTGTTCTAGTGACTGTATTTCTATGTGTACTACAGTACCCATAATGCTCTGCTTTGTATATCTGGTTTTATCTCAGTAAAGATGTTCCTGAAGGCTGTAGAATGATGTACTACAGTACCCATAATACTCTGTGTTCTATGTCTTGTTGTCTCTTAGTAAAGATGTCCCTGAAGCTAACATGATTGTGTCCTGTCTCATTATCCTTACAGGTACAGCCCTCCAAGCAAACCCCCACAGGGAAGATCCCCTGTGTGAGCTGTGGGAAGCAGGGCCACTACGCTGGGGAGTGCCCTGTAGGGAAGTCCTCTCTGGAACAGTACCAGAGCCAGGCAGCCGTGTTAGCTGCAGCCGCCGCTGCCGCAGCCGGCCTCCCCCTCCAGGTCCAGCAGAGTGTCCACAACTCTGTCTACAACACCTCGACCTTTGACCCCACCTACGCGGCGCTGACGGGCCTCACCACCGGCACGCGGACGGACAGCAACCCCGTCAACCAGGCAGTGTACGGTGCCCTGGCGACGCAGGTCTACGGCGCCAACGTGGCCAATCAGCTCTACGGAGTCCAGGCAGCCAATCAGGCGGCAGCGTTGACACAGGCGGGTGCCACGCAGGTGTATGCCAGCTCCATGAACCCCAGCCACGCCGCCCTCTACAGTCAGCTCAGTCAGATCGCTGCCAGCCCAGCCGCAGCGTCCGCCGCTGCCTACTCCACACCGGTCTATGCCCATGCCATGGCCAACCACCACCACCCAGGGGCCGTCTACCTGGCAGCCCATGGCGTAGAGATGCCTACAGCCGCTGCTGCCATCAACCAGGCCTACGCCTTGGCGCCGGCGCTGTATGGGGGCGCCCAGCATGCCTACGGCCACATGGGGATGGGAGCCATGAGCGTGTCAGCGGACCCGTCGGCGGCCATTTTTGAGGCGGCGAGGGTGCAGCACTACTTCGCCCAGGGACAGCAGGTTCTGGCCGAGCAGCAGAATGCGGCGGCGGCACAAGCAGCGAAGTCCGGGGAAAGGGACCGGAGTCCCCTGAGGCGCTCGGCGGGGTCCCTGCTGCCCGACCCCGTCATGAAGCCCTTCATGTACCAGAGAGCGCCCAAGCAACGCCGGCCACTGCTCCCCACCCCTGCTGGGCGAGCTGCAGAGGAGGCAGCGGAGGCTGCAGAGGACCCCATGGCTAGGTACTAGCACTTTCTCCTTATCAAACCTTCTTTGACTCTCATTCACAATTTAGTTGGCTTTACGCTCTATGGGGCGAATCCAGATTTCCACTTTAAGTCACATTTTTGTGTCCCATTGACATCAGTGCAGGACTGAGTGAAAATTTTGCCCCAATGATTGTAGGAATATTTAATCCTCTCTGACCCTCCCCAATGCACTGCCCCCTACACCATAAACACTCCTTTCTCACTACATTACCCTCTCTCACTACAAATCTTCATCAGTTTTCAGACTTCAGAAGTGGTATTGGACATACTTACTGTACCGGAATTGCTCAATACATGATCCTTCATTGCCATCAGACTGGCTTTACCCCCTGTATATTTTCTGAAAGCCTGTTCTTTTTGTGTGAAAAGACTACAATTCCCTGCTAGTAGATGATCTAAAACGCTCTCTGTCCCCCTCCCTCCGTGTGTATCTTAGAGACCAGTGTCAACAGTATGCTGAGTACTACCAACGACAGCACCAACAGTACCATCAGCTCCAGCAGTTACAGTAATTAGGCAAATCCTAATTTCCACTTTAAGTCGAAAGTCCACTTTTAAGTTGAATTTTCACTTAGTCTCACATTTACATCGATGCGTGGCTAAGTGAAAATTTGACTAAAGTGGAAGTTAGGGTTCGCCCCAATGGTTTTAGGAGCACTTAACTCATCTCGCTCCTTATTGAATCCTCTCTGACCCTCCCCAATGTACTGCACTCTCTCCTTTTTCACTACATGACCCCTCTGATGTTCACACTTCAGGAGTGGTAGTGGACATACACTTAGCTGAATTGCTCAATACGTTATCCTTCATTGTCATCAGAGGCTTGTTTTAATTTAACCAACCCCTTGCACATTTTCTGAAAGCCTGTTCCCTACTGGTACATGATCTAAAATCTGTTCCCCTCCCTCGTGTGTATCTTAGAGAGCAGTACCAACAGTATGCTGAGTACTACCAACAACAACACCAACAGTACCAGCAGCTCCAGCAGTTACAGTACGCTATCTACCCTACCTACCGCCCCCGGAAAGACTCTGTACCCCACTAGATTTTTTTAAACCTTGTGTGTGTAAAAGACTGTATTATAGTAGATAATCCAAAACCCTCTTGTCTGTCTGTCTCCCTTCCCCTGTCTGTCCCTCTATCCTTCCCTCCCTCTCTTTCCTCCTTTTTCCTCCTTCCCTCTGTCTGTCCCTTTCCCCCTCCCCACCTCTCTCCCAGGTACTATGCAGAGTACTACCAGCAGTACCAGCAATACCAGCAACTCCAACAGTACCAGCAACTCCAACAGCTCCAGTGCGCCTACCCGCCTCCCAACCACCACGCCATCGCCGGCATCCCTGCCCACGCCATGGCGGGCCACGCCCACCACCACGGCCAGCCCGGTCACGTCACGGCGCTGGACGCCGCCCTCAGGCCAGTGGTGGCTGCCTCCGCCATGGTGGCGGTGCCCAGAGTGTATGAGCCGCCGCTGCCGCCGCCTCCGAACCGCAAGGAGGCCGTCCTCCGCCGAGCCCCCGAACTCTCCCTTCACACGCCTGAGCCCCCCTTCCGATAGTCCACACCTCCCTCGCACACCTCCTCTGTTCCCCCCCTGCACACAACCTGTATACCACCCTCGTACCCCTCCTTCCTCTCAGTGGCTGTGTGTGGGGGTATATATATCTGGATGTGTATCTGTGCGAGAATGAGTGTTTTATGTGTGGGGTTGGTTTGGTATTGGGTTTGGGTTTGTCCGTTGACTACAGTAAAAACTAAGACCCTAGCTCCAACCATGGTTATGATACCAGACACACAGTGCAGTTAAAGACGGGAAAAGTTGCTCTCTTCCACCACATACTGTTGGCATTTTTTTGTAGGGCTTTCTATGACTTTCTGAAGTGTAAGAAATAGATGACAACCCTCATACATTTTCATTGCCTTCAAGAGTGATGATTTACAGTGTAAAGGCCAAAATATGATGGTTCTCGAGTGTTCAATGAATTAGCTAATCTCTCCACTAGTTCAACAGTAATATTTCTAGCTTTATTTGAACTATGTGAATGTCTAATTGAAACTGCACTGTGGTTTGTTGTGAAGGTCCAGGGTTGGAGGGGTCTGTGTGGCTTGCATGCGTCGGGACTGTGGTGTGAAAGTGTGTGTGAGAGAGAGAGATGTTGGCTTTCTGTTGTTTCAATGTAATTCACACACACACACTGTCTTGTTCCCTCACTAGCTCACCCCTGGGGGACTCGAGGGCACAGATCACAGCCACACTACTATTTAAGAACTACCTTCTACCTACCCAGCCTCATCCCTCCCTCACCCCGCTTCAACCAGAACACTGAAAGACACTGCTGCATTTCTGCCCTCTTTTTACTCTGTCTATACCTTAGCCTGGCTAAACCAGATTGAACGCTGTGCTCACCACTGAAACAATGGAGGATTCAGTCAGGTTTCACCAGGCTTATCTATACCTACCTCTGACGATGAGATAGGACTGAGATTAGCTGGTTAGAATATGAGTCGTCTGCTTTCTATCCATCCAGTATATAAGTTGGTGTCAGTTGCAGGGCTGTGATCCATTCCATTTGAATTCTATTCAGTCAATTTACTTCCTGAATTGAAATGGAATGGATCCCAACCCTGGTCAGGAGTTTGGAGAAGAATGCCACATTTTAGTGACAAAGATTATGTAATATACTAATAGTCTTAATGAATCAGTGTATTTTGAGGCCTTTTGAATTATTTGTTTTTTTAGTTTTTTTGTAAGTGGTTGTAGGGTCGATGAAGAGTACATTTATAACTCCTCAGATCATGTATGAATTATTTGGTGGATTTACAAGCAAGTCAACTTTTTAGCTCAAGAATCATGAGTTTCGATGAGCTTAACGTTGTGCCTAAGTGTTGTGTGAAGTGCATTTAGTGGAGGGAATAGCTCCTTTTTGAAGTGCTTATTTCTTATGGCAGGCTTTTTAATCTGAGGTGGAGGGTAAAGGGTTAAGATAATGTGACATTATAATTTTTTTGTGGTCGGTGACGTTCGCACCGATATGATGACAGATGGAGCAGTATCTTTCAGTCGCTCTCCCCGACGTATCCTTGCACCCCGTTGTAAGACGACTCACTACCCCGTACCCCACTGTGTCCTTTCTCCTTGTGGTTGTAGTGATTTTGTTTTTTATATAGCATAAACTCTCTCCGTCTCATATATATAATATATATATATATATATATATCTACACACACACACACGGTTGCATCTCCTGTGAGATCTCGACAGTCACAAAAAAACGGTCTTTTTATTCTTGTTGCTTGCCTTGTTTCTGACCTTATTTTTTAAATTTGTTTGAATTTTGCCTTTTTTTAAAACTAAAAATAAACAATTAAACCGGCATGCTTTTTAATATGTGTACTACACATGCCCACCATTTAAAATGAAGAATGTTTCTGACTACTGTGGGGGGGGGGGGGGGGAAGAACCTGAGCATTTCAGATGTATTTCTCCTTGTTTTAATTTATTCGTTTGTATTCTTCACTCCTCCTTCCTGTCTCTCCTTGTTGTAATGACCAGACCCATATGACTGGGGACCAGGGTGGCAGAGAAAAGGAGGAGTAGCGTCTGTCAGTGTGTGCTCCCCTCCCTAGTCTGCCTCGGTGGATGGGGTAAGTCTAGTCTGGGGTCGGCCTCTCTCGCTCCAGCCTCGCTCAAAATCTCTGTAGGCCTACAGCACAGTCAGACAGGCCCAGGGTGTATCCCAATAACATCTATTTTCTTCCCAATTGTGCACTTGTTCACTTCCCTTCACTGATTTGAGAGGAAATGACTGGGATAAGGAATATGATGGAAACTCCCTCTAGCCCATGCCTTCACTACTCCAATGCGTTTAGATGTGTGAGAAGTAGTGAAGTAGTGTACACTTCAGGAAGGAGGAGAAATAATTGGGACATAACCCCTCACTGGTACCCCAACAAGGTCTACTGTTACCTTGCACTCATGTCTGAAAACAGTTTCTATGACCTCTGATCACTTTGTGCCAATCATATGATTCCTTGTTTAGCAGTGGTGGACACACATACAGAGCATCTGAGAGCCACACTGACAGAATGGCTCTATCTGTGACATTTTGATCTGTTGGGCTGGGGCCGGGGGAGGCTTTGTGTTTTGCCTACCCAACCACAACACCAACAACTTGTCTGTCTCTACTTACTACTGTTCTAGACATGCATGTGTCACTGTGTTCTCTATCCAAAGCCCTGTACATACTGACTGACCGTTTCAACTGAAATAGGTCCCGTGCCTTCCTCACACACCACCAGAGCGTGAGGTGAGAGGGGGAAGACAATAAACGTCACGCAGGCAAATGGGAAGTGGGATCTCAATCTACTCCACCAAGGTAATGAAACAAAGCACCGTTCCCGTCCCTTTCTCTGACTGTGCTTTGACCAACCCCCCCCCCCCCCCCCCCACCGCCATCACCACCACCCCTCCGTAGCTCCCCCCCTCACCTGCGTTGACATTGCCAAAGCCGAGGGTCGCTGCTCACCGTTGCCGCGATGTCTCCTACCAGACTTCCACTGAATTGTCCTGTCTCTCGCCATGCAGCACTTACAGTGGACTGTTCTGTCAGTCTCTCTCTGTCGTGCTGATGTGTGTCTGTGTGTTAGAGCGAGAGATTGTGTGCTTGTGCTTTACTGTTTGTGTGTGACTGATTGACTGTACATGTTTGAGACCGTGTGTGTGCAGTAGTGAGTGTGTGATGTCATTGGTGTGTTGAGGCTTGGCACATGTGGATCCCCCGCCCCCGCTAGTGACTCCTACACCGCCGTATTCGCCACGCCTCCTCCCCCCAACCCATCCCCCTCTGCGCCTGTCTGCCGTACACAATGCTTGCTGCCGCCCACTGCCATCTTGGATCTAGGCTGGGTTCTGTGGCTCTGGCTGCGGATCAGCAGCCCCCAACTGGCCACACCCACCCCTGGCTATGGCTGTAACCATAGAGACTTAGTGAATGACAATGGACACAGTGTATGGTGGCCTAGTGGGGTCGCTTGGCTGGACAGAGTATTACCAGAGATGGTAGAGAAAGCGAGACACCCCACTCCCTAATTTCTTCTGATCGGGGCAGGCTCACTCTACTTATTGCCCCTGCGGAGGGCGTGACCCAGGGCGAGGCATCTCACTGGCTCATTTTTTCTGGTTGGTCGGGGCGAGCGAGAGGGGGACAATAAATAGACCAGAGCCAGCTGTTCCCTTTCTGGCGTGAACATGCCTGACATTGGCTGCGTTCCTCTGCCCAGGCGTTGCTGACGCATACCTTATCTTACAACGCCAGGATAGGTAATGAAAGTATCAGCTAATCACATCATTATGTTATAGCAATCAGTCAGTCGATGACGTGGCACGCAACCATTGGTTGCTGCATGCAACGTCTGAGCAAGGGAACACAACCTATATGGAGGAACTGTGAGCTCACGAGGGAAAAGCATGCTCACGCGAGAGAGGAAAATTCCCACTTACACAAACAGGAACCTTGACCATTTTTGTAAAATGGTTAACGGCCTGAGTAAACTATCTTATTTATCCACCATCTTTGGTATTACTTAATAAAATAGACTTTGTAGGGAGAGTTTTTGCTTTGCTAAAACTGTGATGCTGGGTTTGCCATGGCTGTGTATGGGGGTTAATCACTGTTCACTACTACCATCACCACCCATATCTGTGCAGTTTAATCAATCAATTCAAAATTATCTAAAAAGTCAATAAGTTGACCTCGCTCTGAAGAATAACATTTGTTTTTTTTAACACTGAGTTCCCTATGGCCCTATCAAAAGTGTCCTATAAGACAGACGAACCCAGTAAGGGTTAACTACCTGCAGATTCACTGCAATCTCAGGACTCCTATAGGACTTATTTGGTATGGGGACTATTTCTCTTCACTGGAGACAGCTGCCGTCCCTGTGCCAACCGGCTGTACTTGTGGGTTGTGCTGTATATGTGTGTGTTTATATCTGTTAAGAATCTCCCTCTGTTAGGATGGCTGAACACACACACACACACACACACTTGTCCGACATGTGCACTGAGCAGCTGAGAGGTTATCTTTTAATTTGTTTAGAATAGTTTTAGCCTGCAGGTGGGTGTTTTTTAAAATATTATTTTGTACAACAATAATACCAATATTACACATCAATACAGGGACATTCCCCCCCCCCCCCCAAAAAAAAAAAGAATAATTCAGGACATAATTTAGATGAGACATTCAGAGACATGACTTCTAATAATTGTCCAACTTTTTAAGTTTCACAAGTTTGAGGGATTTATAAAAATGCAACAGTTCACCCCATTTACATTTGTGAATATAATATTTGGCCAAGAGAATAATAATGTTAATAAAATAGTTATGATCGAAATTACAAGGATAAGCGTAATACCATTTAACATCATTGAAGGTAAACATAGGTAATCTTTTAGATTTAATACACAACCATTCATGAATTTGGAAAAGTAGGGAACAACCTCATAATATAGCAAAGTGTTCTTAATAAGTCCAAGTAAAGGAAGTGGAATTGCTTTGCAAACCTTAATATATTCTCTCCACAGCAGAAACTCCCCAGTGTTGTCTAACAAATCACATACAAAATGAATACCCTTGTCAAACCAAAAGCCTTTGAAAATGTATTTCCTATTCATTTTAATAACTCCAAATCAATGTTTTATGGGGGGGGGGGGATTGTGCTTGAATATCATTTTCCAGGAAGAAAGAAAATTGCTGGTGAAACTTAGACAATTTCACAGGTATTTTTAGAGGGTCAAAATCACATTTCATTAGGAATTCAAGTGAGCATCTGAGAGGAGCGTTGCTGGCAGCGGCAGGCAGAGACATGACAGGGAGAGGGCGTGGTCTTCCCGTGTGTCTGTCTGCTTTACCACTGAAAAGAATGAAGGATGGATGGAAGGAAGCTGCGTTGGTAATGTAGGGATCTCCAGCTCTGATCCATGCCTGTTCCCTTAACCCCATTCTATCCTGATCCTAGAGGAGAAAAGTAATCTAGATGTTTTCAAAATGGCGGCTCATGGAAAGAGAGTGGGCTGGGTTGTCTCAAGAAACATTGATTTTGACTATAGCCTACAGTGGGTCAAAGGAAAATGATAAAAACACTGGTGCTGCACTCATGGGGGGATAGAAAAACTGTGCCTTGCATTTGCAGCTCTGGGAGGGGAGTCTTGTAAAGATGCGGCAGATAGCCTAGCGGTTAAGAGCGTTGGTCCAGTAACCGAAAGGTCGCTGGTTCAAACCCCCGAGCTGACTAGGTGAAAAATCTTTCTATGCCCTTGAGCAAGGCACTTAACCTTAATTGCTCCTGTAAGTCGCTCTGGATAAGAATGTCTGCTAAATGACTAAAATGTAAAAAGGTTCACCAGTAATCTCTCTGAGCATTCAAACTACAGTATTGCCTCTGCACAAAATGGACTAACTAAAATAACTAATCAGGATGTGGTGCTTTTTCCCACATAGTCCCCTTTTCCTCTCAGAAGTGGATGTGTGGAGTCTGACTCTAGTGCTTGAGCAAATGCAGCCAGCCATGCATTTCTAAATCCCCCTGGCTTGCTCCCTATTAGTTCACACTGACGGACAACCACATGGCTGCAGCCTTTCACCACTGCTCCTGTTCTGCTCTACCTCGCTCTGCACAACACAGGACAGGGAAGCCAGAAATGCTGCCTTACCAATAGAATCTCA